CTTTGTTTCATTGCAGCCATTTTCTAAAATCAAAAAAGTTCATTTTATTTCTCATTAATGTACACTCAGCACCCCATCTTGACAGAAAAAAACAAATGTAGAAATTTTTGCAAATTTATTAAAAAAGAAAAACTGAAATATCACATGGTCATAAGTATTCAGACCCTTTGCTGTGACACTCATATTTAACTCGCATGCTGTCCATTTCTTCTGATCCTCCTTGAGATGGTTCTACTCCTTCATTGGAGTCCAGCTGTGTTTAATTAAACTGATTGGACTTGATTAGGAAAGGCACACACCTGTCTATATAAGACCTTACAGCTCACAGTGCATGTCAGAGCAAATGAGAATCATGAGGTCGAAGGAACTGCCCAAGGAGCTCAGAGACAGAATTGTGGCAAGGCACAGATCTGGCGACGGTTACAAAAGAATTTCTGCAGCACTCAAGGTTCCTAAGAGCACAGTGGCCTCCATAATCCTTAAATGGAAGATGTTTGGGACGACCAGAACTCTTCCTAGACCTGGCCGTCCAGCCAAACTGAGCAATCGTGGAAGAAGAGCCTTGGTGAGAGTGGTAAAGAAGAACCCAAAGATCACTGTGGCTGAGCTCCAGAGATGCAGTAGGGAGATGGGAGAAAGTTCCACAAAGTCAACTATCACTGCAGCCCTCCACCAGTCGGGGCTTTATGGCAGAGTGGCCCGACGGAAGCCTCTCCTCAGTGCAAGACATATGAAAGCCCGCATAGAGTTTGCCAAAAAACACATGAAGGACTCCCAGACTATGAGAAATAAGATTCTCTGGTCTGATGAGACCAAGATTGAACTTTTTGGCGTTAATTCTAAGCGGTATGTGTGGAGAAAACTAGGCACTGCTCATCACCTGCCCAATACAATCCTAACAGTGAAACATGGTGGTGGCAGCATCATGCTATGGGGGTGTTTTTCAGCTGCAGGGACAGGACGACTGGTTGCAATTGAAGGAAAGATGAATGCGGCCAAGTACAGAGATATCCTGGAAGCAAACCTCTTCCAGAGTGCTCTGGACCTCAGACTGGGCTGAAGGTTCACCTTCCAACAAGACAATGACCCTAAGCACACAGCTAAAATAACAAAGGAGTGGCTTCGGAACAACTCTGTGACCATTCTTGACTGGCCCAGCCAGAGCCCTGACCTAAACCCAATTGAGCATCTCTGGAGAGACCTGAAAATGGCTGTTCACCATCCAACCTGACGGAACTGGAGAGGATCTGCAAGGAAGAATGGCAGAGGATCCCCAAATCCAGGTGTGAAAAACTTGTTGCATCATTCCCAAGAAGACTCATGGCTGTACTAGCTCAAAAGGTGCTTCTACTCAATACTGAGCAAAGGGTCTGAATACTTATGACCATGTGATATTTCAGTTTTTCTTTTTTAATAAATTTGCAAAAATTTCTACATTTCTGTTTTTTTCTGTCAAGATGGGGTGCTGAGTGTACATTAATGAGAAATAAAATGAACTTTTTTGATTTTAGAAAATGGCTGCAATGAAACAAAGAGTGAAAAATTTAAAGGGGTCTGAATACTTTCCGTACCCACTGTATGTTAAGCATTTGGAAGGGGCACAAATATGGAAACTCATTTATAGGTATAACAAGTGAGATGATCCATATAATGGAAGGCCTTTACAAAAAGTAGACCCAGAGGGGCTTATGATTGGTTGTTGCCATTTGGCATGTTGTCCCCCTATGACTCTCTTGTGTCTGCCACTATTAAGATCACTAATAAACATTTGCCAGGATTTGATGAAAAGTGTTTCAAACATTCAGCCTCACAAAAATGTTGTTCTGCAGTTGTAATCGTGTGTCTTCTTTATAGAAACGAGGCGAAAGTGGGAGAGTTTTGCGGTAAACTTTGTGAAACAAAGTTACTTGCAGTTGCAAGAAAGTGAAACGCACACCACATTAATAACCAGCAGCGATAATAACCAGCAGCGATTGCTTGTATCAGCTACCTAGACGGGGGTTTTATGTGTGTATTCAGACCGCCTGCACCATCAAACTGTAGCAGTGAATCATGGCTAACTTCCGCATGTGCTTTTATGAAGTACTTGAAATATTCCTACTCTCTCCACTCCCGAGAAACTTCACTTTAATTTAGCTGGATTGAATTTTCCAGCTGGCCTAGAGACGTTCGGCTAATGACCACCCTGGAGATACCACCGTAGCTTACAGTAGTGTTAGCCGCATTAGCCCTCATCACATTACAGCGCACTGTATTCTGTTCATTCTTGGCCTCAGTCCAGCGCTGCTGTTTGTGCCGTCTGTTGTCAGATTGTGTCGGTTTGATATGAATATTAAAGGCAATTTGAAATACGTTGGGTATTCATGTTGATTCTGCTTTAACCAGGAAGCGTACCGTTGTTTTGTTATTAATTAATACGATTATCTCTCGTGACCGTCCCAAGACCTCCGAGTGCTCAGACTGTTTCCCTGTTTTAAGGAGAAGTGGTCTTGATGCATTCTGTGTTTTAGGATGAAGAATATAGGCAGCAGGGCAGAATGTGGAGATGTACTCATTAAGTTCAACTCCGTCTCATGTTGAATCTCTCCCCTCACATTAACGGCTCTGCAGTATTCAGCCAGCCTTTCCCATATTACATCGCTAATGAGAGATCTATTTAAAATTCTCTTGGCAGGATATTTGTGTAAATGCATTGTTCCGCAGCAGGCTTTTTTGCAAACGGATCAACCGAGTAACTGTACATGTGTTGGAAGTGCACCGCCGAGCACCGCCCTTTGCATCCACTTCTCCTTTTTGTTTATTAATTTGTTTGCGTGATGTGATTGTTGAAGAGGTCAGAAAGATGGACCCCAGTCCAGATGCTTCACACAGCTGTGGCATCTGTACGGGTCGTAAAGTGGCCATCTTGTTAAACGGCAGTCTGGAGCTTAAACCAAACACTGCGTTGTTTGAAGAGATCAACAGTGAGAGTTTTAGTAATGTGGCGTTTGTTTATGGTTAAGACAGTTATTTCCAAACAGGAGTACTTCTGCAGGTAGAGAATACTTCACATGTTTTAGTTGTAACGTAAAATGTGAGGATTAGGCTACTTTACTTTGAAGTAATAGACCCTTGTTCAGACAAAACAAGGCATTGGTGTCACCTTTTTTATATTTCATAGCCTAAACGGATAGTCCAAAAAAGAGATATTCAGGGGAATTACTTAAATATTTAATAAATTGGTAGTTATATACACATAAATAAGATTACATATTGGTGTTAGGCTGATCTTTAGTATGCTTCTTCAATAACCCAATAACACTTTAGCACCACTAAGTTGTGAAACCGAGGTAGCATGCAAGCAGAAAATTAGAAATACAGTAATGAGAAGATGGTTGAAACATCTAGTTCACGTGGTAGTCAAACCTCAATCATAATCAGCAGGGATTATGATATCTAGTATAAAATAATATGTCACAACATTCACTTTTATTTAATCAATAGTATCCTTGAAGTTATTGACCATGTAGATGATGAACAGAAAATTAATCGGCAACTAGTTTTGTAATTTTTTCTCGCAAAAATATCCATCGATTCTAGTCTCTCAATTGTGAGAATCTTCTACTTTTCTGTGACGTTTATCATAATAAACCCAACATCTTTGGGTTTTGGACTATTTGACCCCCCCCCCCCCCTAACTTGAACTCATCTGAGCATTTCAGGGGAAAAAAATGTGGGGAACCACCACTGGTTCTAGGTCTGTAGCTGTGCTTCATATCGGCATGCAGCTGCCAGCATTGCTTAGTGATGGCACACTTGCCCTCGTCTTCTCACCGTGCTGATAAAGGCCGTGTTTGTTTTTCAGTGTGTTGGCGCCACCGGGCCCTCTCGGCGTTATGTGATCTGGTCAGCTAGTATGTAAATGCATTTCGTCAGGCAGCGGCCCAAGTGAAGAAGTAGATTGGAGCTTTATGCAGGAGCCGTTGTTGTGGATTTAGTTGGTAAGCTTCCTCCTCCTGTAGACCGCCATACAGCCACGCATTACTGTCCAGTCATTGTGATTCACCGGGCACCAGTTCCCCTGCTGTATTACCACTCTGAGCATGCTGGAAAATGAATTTAAAAGGGCTCCGAAATGAAATACTAATGGAATGTAAAGTTAATCTAAATATGCTAATCCCCCAAACACTTCATAAACATGGCCGGCAACAGCCCGCCACCCACTCTGTGTAGTCGCTCGCTGAGGAATGCTTTAGCCACAGGGGGTCCAGCAGTAATGACAGGCTTGTGGTGGATTAATGTGGAGTTATTTATTTCCGATTGAGCGAGTCCCTCCCTCCCACTTGTATCCCAGACCCCCCCCCCATTTAGCAGTTAGGCCCGGTCTCCATGACTCCTGGAGATACTTCCAACGAGCAGCCTGAGACCTCCTATTAATGCAGTCCGCCTCGCTAACATGTCCAGACCACCGCCGACAGGCCTCACACTGCATTCTGGGATATCTTCCGCCCTTTACCTGCTCTTAGCTAATTACTTTTTTAGCCGTGCACACAATAATTGGTCTTGTGATGCCGCCTCCCCTCCCTGTTCTGCGCCAAGTGCTAGTTTGAGCACTTTTTTTCTCCCCCCGTCCCCCCCCTCGTCTCTGTGTCGTCCTTATTCCCCTGTTTTTTTTTATCGTCCTCCAAAAGCCATCCAATTAATATGCTAATGAGCTGATAAATATTTATAGGGGTTTAAATTATGCAGAAAGCTCTCAGAGCCCGGTGTGAAATGCGTCGCTCGCAGGACTTCAAAGCCTTTGCATTGCTAACGAGGTAGGGGCAGATTTGCATATGGCTTTAATCAGCTGAATACTGATTATGCTTCATTATAGAGTTGGAGATGGGGGGGGGAATTTGAGGAGGCCGCCAGCTGCACTTGTCGTTTGTTTCATTCCAGCAAGAGAGGTTGAACTTTGAGAGAGAGAGAGAGAGAGAGAGAGAGAGAGAGAGAGAGAGAGAG